ACTCTCAATAATCCCAAGAGATTGCTGAGGACATGTGTCTTAAAGCGATAAATTATTTGTTCCAGGTTCTTACAAGCAGAGACACTGAGCCCAGGTCAGTTTGACCACAGGGATTTCTCTCTTTCCACTATACAAGAAACTTAGTGTAAGGATTCTATGCCACATGTGACAGAGAAAGGCAATTTTTAAAAAACTTTTTACATACTCTCAAAACTGTTACACATATTTAATGCAATCCCAATCAAAATACCATTAGTATACCTCACAGATGTAGAGAAAATATTCCTAAAATTAATCTGGAACCAGAAGAGACCTAGACTAGCAAAAGCAATCCTGGGCAACAAAGCCAAAGCAGGAGGCATCACAATCCCTGATTTGAAATTATACTATAAAGCTACTGTGATAAAATCAGCATGGTACTGGCAAAAAACAGACCTAAAGATCAATGGAACAGATTAGAAGATGCACACAACTACAAAACACACTCAGCCACCTTATCTTTGACAAAGGGGCCAAACATGTTCACTGGAAGAAAGACAAGCTCTTTAATAAATGGTGCTGGAAAAACTGGCTGTCCACATGAGAAAGACTAAAACTAGACCCATGTCTATCATCATGAACTAATCTAAAGTAAAAATGGATCAAATATCTAAATATTAAAACAGAAACACTCCATCTAGTAGAAAAGGAAGTAGGTAAAATCTTGAAGACATAGGGGTAGGCAGAGAGTTCACAAACAAAAACCAAACTGCACAGGAAATACTTCAAAGAATTAGCAACTCCAATCTCACCTTATTGAAAAGTTTTTGCATATCAAAAGAAATCACCAACACAGTAAAAAGAAAACCAAAGAATTGGGAAAAAGTTTTAGGCAACTGTCCCTCAGACAAAGGACTTCTATCTAGAACATATAAAGCTGAATTTTTTAAAAAGAATTTTTTAAAAAGAATTTTTTAAGAAGAATTTTTTAAAAAGTCAGGCCCCCAAAGTTCAAAGACCCAACTCAAAAATGGGCATCTGAGATGAATATACACTTCTCAGATGAAAAATTACAAATGGCAAATAAATATAGGAAAAAAATGTTCAACATCATTGGTTATTCGAAAAATGCAAATTAAAACAACGCTGAGATTTCATCTCACTGCAGAAAGAATAGCTACCATCAAGAAATCAACCAATAACAAATGCTGGTGAGGCTGTGGGGAAAAAGGAACTCTTCTCCACTGTTGTTGGGAGTGTAGACTGGTGCAACCACCATGGACATCAGTCTGGAGACTGCTCAGTAAACTAGAAATTAGAGGTCCCATTCAACCCAGCTATTTCCCTTCTGGGTATTTCTCCAGAAGAATTGAAAACACCATACCACAACAATATATGTGCACCCATGTTTATAGCAGCACAATTTGTCATAGCTCAATCTGGGAAAAAACCCAAATACCCATCAACTGAGAAATGGATAAAAAAGATGTGGTATTTTTGTACAATGGAATATTACTTAGCTATAAAGAAAGATAAACTCGAGGCTTTTATAGGTAAATGAATGCAACTAGAGGCCATATTCCTAACTGAAGTAAATCAGACTCACATGTATAAACATTGAATTATCTCCCTAGTGTAAGAAACTGAGAGTAAATAAAATCTGAAAGGCACAATAAATATTGTGAAAGGGAAAGAAACTGCTCAAAAGGAAAGAATAACAGGGATGGGGAAAGCAGAAAAGAAAGAAAAATGAAAGGGAAAAAAATATATATATATATATATATACACAAGATAGCTAATATAATTGTACTATTAATTTCTATTGGTTTATTGAAAGGAATAGTCAATGCCTAATTGTTTGATCAATTTTGCATGACTATATCTGCTAATCTGAACAACTACTTTGAAGATAACAATATGCAATATAACAGCCATTGTTAATTTTCTATCATCTTGTTTTAAAATTGTGTATCATTTTATTTATTCTCTTTAAAATAAAAAACTTTTTAAACTTTTATATTTTTAAAATCTATGACATATCTGTCACACATATTGATCACATTCATTATGGGGAATTTGTACCTGTTCTTTTTTTACCCATCCTCCTTCCCATCTTTTAACCCCCTTTTCCCCTATTTATAAAAGCTTTGTTTCCAGTTTATTCCCACTTTTCCTCAATTCTCTTTTTTTTCCTTTTCCCTTCCTTCTCTTCCATCTTCCCCCTCACCCCAATGAGATATTTCAACATATGTGTCTGATTTATTTCACTTAAAAGTATGATCTCCAGGTGCATCCATTTACCTAGATATGACTCAAGTTTATCCTTCTTTATGGCAAGTAGTACTCAATTGCATATAAAAACCACATTTTTTTATCCATTCATCTATTGATGGGCATCTAGTTTGTTTCTGAGATTTAGTTATTACAAATTGTGCTGCTACAAACATGGGTGTGCATATACTGCTGTTGTATGATGCTTTTAACTCAGAAAGGGAATTTTTGAGAATAGCTAATTCCTTTTAATTTTTTTTCTCAGTAATGTTATTAAAAGCTTTTTTGGTATCATAAATCCATACAATAATATCATGGAGTGGGTGCTGTTATCTCCATTTACAATCAAGGAATCTCAAAAGGGTTCACCCTTTCATCTTGATCATGTAGTTTGAAATAGTGAAGGGGAAAAATTGAGATACTGAGTAAACAGAAGAGACAGAAGACAAATGCAAGCTCAAAGGAAGCCATGAATGCGCAACCATTCTGCAAGAGGAATTTGGGGTGTGGTGCCCAAGGCCTGAGGCATCTGCTCTTCAGAAGAAGGAGACTGGAGGGTAGCCCTTAGAACTTGCTCATAAGTATGGACAGAGTGAGGGAGGGGAAAGGATAATTTGTACTAATGAAAATATCACAAGCATCATAGTTAATTTAAAAAAGGGCAGCAATGATGGATGGCAAATAAAGCATTTCTAAGCATTAAACTTTATGTTTCTTCAGGGTCTGAGATTGTCATAAACAGAAGTGGAGGATCCCAAATATGTTCTAATAGGTCAACAAGAAATCTTCCAATTTTAAAACCACCAAATTCCTTGGGCCTATAATATACTTCCCATCTCTAACAGGCATGGAGCACCTCAGACTCACATACAACTTTTATGTATATTCTGCATATTGTTGTCTGAACTATCCTGACAAAAAAAGTACATATATAAATTCTCAGGTCTTCAGGGAGCTTCTGATTCAGTAAGATTGAAAACTACAACTCCTACAGATCTATGGTTTGAATAATGACTTGGGTAACTCTTATAATCAACGAAGTTTAGGAAAATTGCTATACTGGAACTCATAAGAAGCTTGTAGGTACGTATCATAAGAAGAGTGAGACTCAAAGAAGAGAAGAAATATGCCCAAAGTCACACAGCTAGTGAGAAGTATGTTCAAATGCCATTTCATTTAAGCCCATCAGAGCCAAAGCTTTCTTCAAAAAGCCCATTCCTAGGTGTGTGAATATGGCATTGGACACCAGGAAGTGGGAATGTAAACATTCAGAGCCATACGGGCAAAACAAGGAGGAAGCCAAAGCACTGGGTGGAACAACACCTCCCAAAACGAGGAGAAAAGCCAAGTCCTCCTCCATCTCTGGCTCCATTTTTGAGTCCTCAAGACTTGTAGGCCAATGGCCTGCAAACACACAACTGCTGCCATTGCTTTGAGCAAGAAGTCTACTTGGGTAAAATTATCGAAATGTTTCTTTCACTACTGTATAACAATTTTTTTAAAACCTACAGAAAGCTTCTCTCAGAAATAACTTTAGACAGTATCACACCAAAAGATGGCAAAATTCACTCCATGTCTCTAGGGCCTGTTGTCCTGATGGGTGAGTACTGAAGGTTTGCTGAGACTGGATTCACGCACACTGGGCTCCCCTCCACGCTGAGACCTTTAGCTAACAGTTGCTTCACTGGGGGTGGGAGTATGACATGAACAGTGACACACTTGTATAACATCCTCTACTGTCTCTTTCTAGAAGCTTCTGCTGCTGAACTCTTATATTCCTACCAACTCACTACAAGAAAAGATCCTAAATCTGCAAAACAGGACAGAGGGAGCAGCACAGAGAAAACTGCACTGCTAGTTCTAGCTTCCTTGAGTTTAAATAAGGAAAACGGGGAGGACCTGCCCCCTTCTGAAGGTATTGGCTTTAAAATGCAACATCTCCCTCTCTAATTTACACAAGTTTCTCTGTCCTCTGGGTACTGATCCTCTTCATCACAGATTTGCATAATCCAAATTCTAAATCCTGTGAGGAAACTTCCCATCCTTGTGCATCCCCTTAAATCTAAGGTCAAAATGACAACAAATTTGTCATACTTGGAGATTCCATGTCCAATCTGTCTGTCTATATTCACTTTATGTCCAACTTATCTAATCTCATGTACACACCCATTTTGTTCATTACAACAGTGACAATTTAACACTCAGTGAGTACCCTGTAAAAATCTCTGTCATGTAGCATATAATTTAACATTCATGATTTACTGAAAAATGGTTGCTGATGTCAATACACATATCTCTGCAGTAGGAGATTATTAAATCACATTTATATAAAAGCAAACTAAATTAATATCATATATATCCCTTTCAAATCAACTTCCTTGAAAAACATGTTCTACCCTAATTAAGGACTATACATAAATATTTTTCCTTTTATTTATCATGTAAAAAGTGCTTTTGGAAAAACAGTTACATTTCACTCTGGATTTTTCATATGTCCTTCAAATATGTCCACTTTTAATGAATGGACATTCTTTTGCTTAGAAACCAGTATTCCAGGTCTTATAAGAACACTGGTGTTTGGGCATGTGCAGTGGAGGTAGAAGATAGATTCAAGATGTTCCAAGTATGCAAAATCATATGCAGATGTACAAACAGTACGTCCAGTTAAAGAGAGTTAAAAAAAGAAATATATATATACAGACACCCAAGAATGGAGGGCACAAATAAAATCCAACTTGTAATTAACATACCGTGCTGTGACACCTGTTGCCTTCCACGATAAAAAGTCTGGTAGATCAAAGAAATGTCCCGCCTTATCCCAGCAAGTCTCTCTCAAGTTCTGCCAAATTAAATATATATTAGAATCAATTATGGGTTTTTTTCTTAGCCTTCTCCTCTTTCAAAAATGTTTTAAAACTTTCAAAACAAAAACATAGCCAACAATGTCCATTAAAACATCTGTTCAAGCACTGGAGGAGGAGAGGAGGGGGAAGAGAAGAGTATGATAGAAAAGCAGTACGTGTATAGGAAAGAAAAATGGCAATTATTGATCCTTCCAAAATTTCCTTTTATCCCTCTTTGCCAACCTGTAGGAGGAAAAAAATCATACTCCATGAGGATATGCAGTCCATCTTCCCAGTAAATGGCAAAAGGATATGCTCTAAACATGTAGAAAGACTTTTAACACTGAGCCCCAGGAGCCTGTGGGAAAAAGTACACTAAGAAATTACTCAGTGGATGTTAATGTGCTCTGCCATGTAAAGCTGTCCACATAGAAACTAGTTCCAAAAGCAACATAAAAGATAGTCTGCCCTCAAAGAACTACCAATCTAAGCCAAAAGAACAGTCACATAATTAAACCATTATTGTAAAAATGTCCCAGATTTATTTTTTTTCCACAGTGCAAATGGCCAGATTTTTTTCTTGAAGCTTGGCTTTTCCATTCCTCTGCTGATTCTTTCTGGAAAGCTAATATTTTACCTTACCCATGATCTATATCCTTCTGTTCCTTTGTCCATCCTACCCATCATCCCTCAGGGAAAATTCCCAAGATCTCCCACTCCAAGTTAGGGTTATCGTATACCTCACAATTATCTGTGTAATGACATTTCTCTTCCTAGACTGTAAGCTCTATGAAGTCCAGGACTTCATCAGTTATAGACCATTATAACTGCTGTCTCTTCTCCACCAAGATAAAGAATACTTTCAGTTGTGGAGCAGAAGCTATGCAACACTAGTGCCTTTACTATTGGACTTTACTGCACCAGGGATGGACAAGTGACCTAGTTAAATCGATCAGATTCCTTCTCCCAGAATCCAAATGTAGCCACTTAACTGATACCTATGAATAGAACTGGATGTGAGATAAACTTGGAAACTATGAAGTGGCCCCGTTTCATACAGCACCTAGAGGAAAAGAACTTACAGAAAAGAGAAGACAGACACACTAGCAAAAAAAGTTTCCTACCACTCAGGTAACTCTTCTATGTCCTGGTTTCAATTATTCTAAAAGTGGCTTCTAAAAAGGAATTTATCAGGCCAGGGATATAGCTCAGTGGCATAAGCGCCTGCCTGGCAAGCACAAGGTCCTGAGTTCAATTCCCAGTACCAAAAAAATAATAATAAATAATAATAATAATAATAAAATAAAATGAAAAGGAATTTATCATAAACACAAGGGTATTTTAAGGAACCCAAATGCAACAACAGAGATGTTCCAAAAGAGACAGATTCCAATATGTGCTCCAGGACAAAACACAGTAGGCATTCAAATATATACTAAGGTACCAGGAAAGCTGCTTAGTTTTTCCATCTAGTCCCTTGGGAAGAGAGTTTAGAATTAATGCTGGGTGTGGTGGTACAGGCCTGTAATCCCAGAACTTGGGAAGCTGAGAAAGGAGGATCACTGTGAGTTCAAGGTCAGCCTGGACTACAATGTGTTCAAGGCCAACCTAAATTACAGTGAGACCTTGTCTCAAAAAGCCTTAAAAAACAGAATTTATAAAGCGCTTCTATATGTGTCACTTCCTCAGAGCAACATAAAAGTGTTGTGTGTATTATAGCAACTTCACAGACATATGGCTGGGCATTACCTATGTGTGCCCTCAAATTCTGTGTGTTCTTCCTACTTACAACTTCTTATCATTGCTACCTGAACTCAGACATCTACATGCTATCCCAGGTGCACAGTCCTACTAAAACAATAACATCAAAAGGTTAGGACATAAAAGTCAAAGTATTGAGCCCATTCTCTTTTAATTTTGTTTGTTCCAATTATGTGACAGCTTATATCTAGAAGGGGACTTATCTTAAACTTCTCTTTGAATACAAATTAACACTAAATAAAGAAAATCTTAATGAAATATGCCTATCACACCTATGAACCAGCAGTGACTTTTAAATATTAAAACTCATGATCACAAAATGGTAACATTTTGAAATAATGTGAGTCAAACTACCAATGTGTATTTTGGACAGTCTCCAAAATCTCTTTCCATGTGCTTTGTGGTTGTAGTGATCAGTGGTCAGGAAGAAGAAAGGGCCACTTCCTTTTAAAAGTTCCAGCAAGCCAAGGCCAGTGACCAGGCAAGAACCAGTACACCACGACAGCAATCACTAGTGCTTCCAGCCAAAGCTTAACCACCTTCTAGTTTAGGGACTAGACTGAGAAAACAACTGTTTCAATTAGAATAATTTAGCGTCACTAAAGATCTTACACAAAGACAGCAGTTAGGCTGCAGCCACACAGACAAATGCTGTGGAGCCCAAGTAGAACTATATCTCCAAGAGAACCTTAGAGCTTTGCCAAAAAAGACACACACTAAAGAGAGGAAGAATAAGGGATCCAGAGCATCCTTTCTTCCTGAGACAATACTAGTTTCATCAATCAAAGCCAGAGATGCCAGTAAACCTCTCCACAGGATGAGGAACAAAAAAGGCAACATGTTTTTAATGTATAAGGTATCCTTAAAGAATGCACATGGTCTCAAAAAAGAAGTGAGCAATGTTCCCTGCTTTCTCTACAAAAAAAAATTCTGGAGACTAGCCAGTAAAGAGAGGAGAGCTTAGGTGAGACAGAGTGTCTGGAAGCCTGATCCCTCACTCTGAGATGCTGACTGGCTATCCGTGAGGGTCTCAGGCAGTGACTCTATCGGGATACATAAATCAAGGGGCTTTTTGCCAACAAATGCCTGATTAGCTCCTCAAAGTAAATTTTTCATCTATCTCTGTAGTTAAATCTCTGTCCTTTCTCTTCTCCAACCAATGCAGTCCTAGCCAAGGGTCTCAACCTTGCTGAGTTAATTCTAGTCTTGAAACTACTACATCTTCTATTTTCTTAACAGTTAACAACAGGGTGTCATATGCCTCAACTCATGTGAATCTCAGGTGTTTAAGGTGTCAAGCAAAACGTAATACTCTCATATTAAGCATGTAGGAGCTGAGGATCAGACCTTAGCTCAAGTCACACAGGATATCTATTCTAAAGTGAGTGTTCTTTCCTTTCACTGTGTTCAAGTGACTGCCCTGAGGCTCCTCTTTCTAGCAGAGCTGTTGTGATTGGGCCTTCTGGGAATGTAAGGATGGAAGCTTCCACCATTCTTTACACCAGAAACAAACAAACAAAAGCCCTTCCAAACACAACCTCAAAATTTCAGCAATTACAGTTTCAGGTAATTCACTTAACTTCTGTGTACCTAACAACACCTTCTGTGCACAAATGGAGTATGTGTTTTAATAGAGCACACAGAAACCACTCAACTCAAGCCATCATTTGTGCATTGTGTGCTAGCTTAGTCCAATTTAAACTGGGAACTCTCTATGCTGATTGAGTTAAGTCTTTCTGTCTTCCATTTACCAAGCAACTAACAAAAACTAATCTTTTCAAGAAATAAAGAATCAGGACAGATTTAGGGTGTATGTCTTGGCACTAAAAGTTTCTGCATACCAATAATAATCCTTTGAGTTAAGCCACCCCCAGTTTGAAAGAAATCACAGAAAACAGCTTTTAAAAAAAACTGTTTATTACTTTATAAAACCACAGCATTTCTTGGGGGGAGGCTACTGCTCAAAGCTCACACAAGTGCAGGTCTCAGCAGAGGGTTGGGATAGAGTAATTACCTCTAAGGTTCAAGCTCCACATCAACTCCCTGCCAGCCTCCAGGCAGAGTGAAGGAGCCTTCACCTCTTCCCTCCCAAGCAATGTCCTGGGAAGTTGTCACATTTCTGCTGCTTCTAGGCCCCCAGGAAACTAGTGGGAGAAATGAGGAAGCTACTGCAACAGCACCAGTGTCCAGAAACAACATGAGAAAATATGGATACCCGATTAAACAATGGCCAGGAAGCATTTCTTATATCCTGGAAAGAGATTCTAGCTGGCCCACTGGTAGTGTGAAGTAAATAAAAGGAAGGGAACAGAGCTCTCTGGTTCTCCCCTCAATAAATGTTTCTGGCTGCACATTTCAACTATTCCTGATGTTTCTTTCCAGAATAACCACCCCTGAAAAAGTAAAATTTTATCCTCATCCTATATTCAAGACTCCAAATTAAGGCACTGGATAATCCAGTGAGGGAAGATGCTTCAGGAGAAACTTAATCTTGGACGTCATTCTCAAAAGAAAAATGATGCTGAAAACACAGAGTGGATCCTAAGCATGATGAGAAACTTTACAGAATGAATGAAACAACAGAGACAGAGACCAAACCCTCAAAAAACTTCGAGGCAGACAGGCAGATTGCTTGAGGTTTGGGACACCAGAGCTACCTTTCTAAAAATTTAAGACTTACCATTCAATTCCTCTGTTTAAAATTGTCCAAAAATAAATAAACAAACAAATAAATAAATAAAATTGCCAAATAGCTCTTTGTGACCTACAGCTACATTTTAAATTCCTTAGCTTGACTCTCAGGACTTATAACAACCAGGCCCAACGGGGCCATTTCTATTATCACAACTACTTCCTGGGCACAACTCCCAAGGCCTCTCTGCTAACATTCTCCAGTCTACCCTCCCCTCATTTCTTTCAATCTCAAACACCTTATGCTCTTCTATATTTCTATGTCTCTGTGTAGGCTGCTGCCTCTACTTGAACTAACTTTCTTACTTTCTGCCTGATCACATTTCTGTCCTTGACTCAGATTCACCTCAGATGCCACCTTTTCTAGGAGTCCTTACATCCCACAATGTATCTGAATTATACGTTCATATACCTACATCCACCTCAAAGTGACAAACATCTGGAAGGCAAAAGACAAGTCATGAAAAAAATGCAAAAACTTCAGAAGGTATAATGAAATTTAAAGTCAGGCTCTTTCAAAAGAAAGTTACTATGACACTGGAGA